CCACTTCTGGGCTCCCCAGTACAAGAGAGACATGGCGCTACTGGAGAGAGTCCAGCGGAGGGCTACAAAGAGGATGAGGGGACTGGAGCATCTCTCCTCTGAAGAAAGGCTGCGAGAGCTGGGCCTGTTCAGCCTGGAGAAGAGAAGGCTGAGAGGGGATCTGATCAACGTGTATAAGTATCTGAAAGGGGGGGTGTCAAGAGGATGAGGCCAATCTCTTCTCCATGGTGCCCAGCAACAGGACAAGAGGCAACGGGCAGAAACTGAACCACAGGAAGTTCCACCTAAACCTGAGAAAAAACTTCGTCACTGTGAGGGTGACAGAGCATTGGAACAGGTTGCCCAGAGAGGTAGTGGAGTCTCCTTCCCTGGAGATATTCAAAACCCGACTGGATGTGATCCTGGGCAATATGCTCTAGGTGACCCTGCTTGAGCAGGGAGGTTGGACTAGATGATCTCCAGAGGTCCCTTCCAACCTAAACGATTCTGTGATTCTGTGATTCTGTGAAGATGGAAGTTACTTGTGGATCAGGTGATCCAATTTAAGCACAACTGCACATCACAGAGGGTCTAGCTAGTGTGGGGGTATGGGCAGGACTGCTTCTCTCAGCAACAATTTGTCGTTAGATCTTTTTAAGGCAATTGTGAGATTGTACCTTCTGCTTCAACTGCCAGAGATTACGGTACGTGATAATGAAAAGGAAAAGGGCCCCATCCTGCTAGAATCTTGTTACAACAGGTCCAGGATATCCAGAGTCCAACGAGAACTACAGTGTGGAAACTTTCATGGAGGCTTTCAGAGCATGGTGGTCAGGGGGAATCGGGCTTGGTCCCAAGCCTTGCAAAGAAATCACACTCTCCCCACAACCTGAGTGCCATGATGTGGTGCAAAAAACCCAGCCCCCCAAACTCTTCTTGCTTTAGTTGTCTCTCCTGTATCACGGAAAGAAGACGGACACTGTCCCTCTTCAGTGCCATCAGTGAGTGTCACACTGAGATTTAGTAAAGATAACTTCAGCTCAGAGCAATGCATTGCCTGTTGGAAATTTTCTTGTGGACAAGGTAGGTAGGTGGTTTGTGGTTGTTTTGGGGTGTTCTTTGCCTTTCTCTAAATTTTAAGATCTGAGGTTGTTCAGGAGCAGGATGCTAGACTGGAAAGGTTTAGTTTGATGTGTTACAAGAAATGCTATGTTCTGCAATCTTTTGCTCACGTTCACAGGTCAAACTGACTGCCATGTTCAAGCCTGCACTGGCTTGCGCTGCACAGGCCAGATTAGCAGAGATCCTGCTGCTCTGTTACCTCAGTGGATGATGGAGGGTACAATCTGTTCTGTTGGGCTCATGTGGCCAGTTTCAACTTTCTGCCATATACCACGATAAATTCAGTGGCTTCTTGACTCTTCCCAAGCTTCTAATTCCAATTTTGACTTGGAGAACAACCTTGAAAGGATCCCAATCATTTTATATAAAGAGTCATCTTTAGATTTCAAAACTCTATGCTGGGAATGATTCTATGTAGTTTCTTCCTGGTTGTCATCTCCCACCTTCCATAACACACAGTCTTGGACTGCATACTCTTTAGACTTGGATCAAGACTAAAAAGGGCATCTCTACAGCTCTTCATTCAGGAAGAAGCCCAGAATTATCTCCTTGATAACTGTTGCTGTGGATGCTGACCTCTCTGGTCTCTGGATGGAGAGGACAATAGAAGAACAATGCCATAGCTGAATTACAGGTTGCCCTTGCATCTGAGTACACCCAAGCCTAGGATTTGCTGCAGGAGAAGGAAGAAAGTGTTTTTTATGTGGTGGGAGTCTCCATGTGACATATATTCATATACCAGTTCAGTCCAGAAGTATTTCAGAAACGCTTTGAGCTGAGGGCTGCTCTCTGAAAGCAAGGAGGATTCCCTCTGGGATTAAAAGGCTGCAAGCCTGGCAAATTCACCCCAGGATCAAAGGATCAAGCCTCAACACTGGAGTTGCCATGGTTCATATTTGTGGATAGTATAGCAACTAGGCTGGACCTCAGCTCACTGTCCCATCACTAAGTGACTCCGCAGGATGTAAACCAGAGAGAAGAACAGCCAGACATCTCTGATATTGTACATTTGGGTGGTACTGCTAGGCAGAGCACCTTTGGGTTGGGAGTGGCTGTGCATATAGCTGAGAACAGCCCTCAGTGAAAGAGCTCTTCTGGTTAGCCTCTTCTGGTTAGGACTTCAGATGCTCCTGGAGGAAACAAAGATGAGGAGAGGTAAAAAAAAAAAAAAAAAGCCTCCGTGCCTTGAAAACCTTTGTGGTTTTCAAAAACACAAATCTTTTAGCAGCTACGTAGGCAAGTAATTCTCCTCAGTTTCTGGCTATAGAAAGAAATGCAGGTCCTTTGCCGTTTGCCCCCAATGATCAGGCACAGAGCTTTCTTCTCCCCCACCCTTAGCTCTACTTTTTCCATTGCTTCAGGTCTATTGTTCAGGGAGTTTTCTTGGACGCTTTTTCTCTAGTGTGTGCATAACACTGGTAAAGTGTAAGGTTTTTCCTTTTCTAGTTGTGTCTCATCTCCTTTAAAATAACCTTTTTTCACCTTCTAACCATGGCCCACTAGTTACTGCAGCCTAGAAAAAAATGGATTTGGTTGTCTAGGCTAGAAAGTTAGTGCATTTTTACATTTTTGTGCCTTTGCCTAAGCATGTCAAGTTTGTTCCCTGAATATAGCACTGCAGTGTGACCCTGTTGAGCAGAGCTGATCAGAGGAAGATGGTGAAGGAAAGATATATGGAGGCAGGAATCATCTGAGGATAAGGCAGGGCCCAGCTTATTCCTCTAGTGATGCTGTGCTGCTTTGCACCAGTTCTCAGCCCTTCCTGCACAGGATGATGTTGGCAGGCAGAAACAGGAGATTGCACAATTGCTCTTCTTTGGAACAGAAGCTAAGAGCACTGTGGTGCCCCTGATGTGAGGGACCACAGTATCTCACAGCATCCTGGGTCTGCAGGTCCAGCTCCATTGCCATCCATGCCCCACTCCATGGGGGAGAGAAGGCAGAAAGCTGCAGGTAGAATGTCTTCAGAAACGCAGTGGAGGGATGCTGCACAAGAGGCAAGCAGCAAAGGACACAGGGAAACAGTGTCTGGCTAACAAGCAATGCTTCATCTGCAGCCAGGGCTGCTGTGTATGGAGAACATCAGAGTTTTTTCAGAGCAGATGCAGCCTGAAGTTCCCTCTCTGCTGCTGATAAGAACAGGACCGGAACACGATCTGATGCAGGATACCGAAAGTGGGTGGGAGGTGTCAACCCCACTGTCTTTATGTTTGGGGTGGGGTGGGAAGAGGCTGAGACCTGCAGGAGAACTCATGTGAAAGTCTTGGACAAGGTGGAGGGGAAGCAAGGGAGAGAGGCAGCAGGTGGGATAAGGAAGTCACAGGAAGAGAAAGTACAAATCAAGAGACAGCAGGGAGAAAGGCAGCAAGAGAGAGTTACAGACAGAGAGGGAAGGGAAGTGGGAACCTGAACAATAAACCTCAGCAAAGAGAGAAAACAAAGGGGAAGAGAATGCAAAGGAAATGAAAATTGTAGAGCAAAAGGTGGAAAAACAGAGAGGAGAAATGCTGACCTGAGTTCAGCATGGCCAGGGATTCCCCAGCTCTGCTGCCTGTGATCTTAGGTTAATGTTTGTTTGTGCCTGGTATTTCTTGAGTCTCGTGGCATTTTTATGACATCTCCTAGTTCCAGTGGAAAGTGCTTAAACTATTGACACATCAGACAAGGATCTAACTGTGAATTGGGGAAATTACTGTTCAACATGTGCAACATATCGCTATCTTCAATTCTCTGTAGACTTTAAGGAGTTAAAATCTATCTTTTTGAAGCTATAGGCCACTCTCTGAAGTTGCAGATGAGAATTCAGGCCTTTCAGCAAATCTAAGGGGACTGACCTTGTGAGTAACAATGGTAAAAATTACTTTTCAATTTCTTATCAATTTTTTTCTCTAGCAAGAAAAAGAAAATCATAGTCATCCCTGGTACTAAAATCACAACGTAACTATTTTATTAACTCTTTACACTTTCAAAATTGTTGATTCTCTGGATTGAGTTTTACAATGCTTTTCTACTCAGAGAAGACTTTCCAAAGCTTGACAAGGAAAAAATAGCAATCCAGACTGTTACTTTTTTTACTGTGAGCCAAAAATAGTTTTCCAGTTTGGGGAGAAATTCCAACACTTTTTATTAAAATACTGGAAAAATGAATGACATTAATCTTAGCTGGTGTGCAGACTTCTGAAACTTGCAGGTGCAGCTCTTAGAGGATGTGACTTAAAGGTATTTTGAAAACTGCCCCAGAAACATTAGAGGGGTGCTTCAGAAGATGCCTGAGGATAAGGAGGCCTTTCTCCCTCCCAGCAGTCACTAGTAGGACTTCACTTCAGGACATTAAGCATTGAACTTAACTCCTAAGTACATTTTAGTGTAACTGGAAGTTACATGGCTACAGTGATGGTGGATATGATAGTGGATATATCTGCACTAATAGCCCTAGGCTGGACCATGGAGATGTCACCTGTACCTAAAGGTGCACATTGCTCTTGGGTAAGGAATGTGGGTTGTATTTACACTGCAAAGTGGCGTACAAAGCAGGGCCCTCTGAACTGTTTCTCAAAGCAGACAACACTGATGCTTGCCCTGCTGAGGGATGGGGCAAAGTTAGAGCAGGGCTGGGGCAAAGCTCCGTGACTGTACTGCTCTCCGTGCCCGAGGAGCGTCTCCGAGTAAAGAGGAATTTGCAATGCCATTTCTAGCAACCGGAATAAGATTGCTCGATCATGATCTGACTACTGTAATGTTGGCTGGGCAGCAAGAGGAAAGCAGAACGCTTTGGAAAAAGAACAGCTTCACTGCGAGCCCATGACTGGGGATGGCCATAAGGGGAAGGACTCCTTGGGGTTAGTATCTAAACATTTCCAGCTCCTGAACACCTCCTCCGTGAGCAGGTAGAGACCGGCATGGCAAGGTGGGAGAGCGAGTTCTCTTGCCACAGACTGCAGCCTCAAGCTGGCGCTGGGGGTGACAGAGGGATGAGTTGGGGAAGAATTGTTGTCTGTTTTTCCGAATGAATGAATGCTGTCTGGCAGCTGAATGAACAGGTCTCTGGCAACCCAAGGGGAGCAAAAGGCCACAGAAAAGAGGGGAAAGATCAAGAAACCAAACAATGAATCAAAGTAGCTGAAAAGACCCAGAAAGCCCAGAAAAAACATTTTTATGAGTGTGTGATATATCTTCTCTGTCATGTGAGAGGATTTTATGAGATAGCAGAGGAAGGGGAGAAAAGCAGAACAGGATTTCTGCAGGGAGAAACCTAATGTGGAAGAGGAGAGAGAAAATAATTTGAAACACACCCTATGCTAAATGCACTAGAAGAGAAATCTTTGATTGTTGTAGAAAGGCTGGCAGCCAAGTCAGCAGGAGAACAGACAACTATTGCCGAGAGGCAGCAGTTCCCAGGCTCCCCAACAGGACTCTGCAACTGGTGCCAGCACTATTGGAGAGCCTCCTCTCCAGTCTGAACATGGTGAACAGCAGTTACCTGGGAGGAGGAAGGAGCAGGTGCTCTAGGAAGGAGTCAGCATGATGTTATTGTTGCCAGCTCTACATCAGAAACGGTGTGGGGTTTCCAAACCTTCCCAGTTCAAAAGCAGCAAGCAAATTAGTACTATAGGTAACTCTGCTGGCTACAAAGACTGGTTCGCAGAAGTGCTTCTTAACAAAGGCATAGCGTCTGACCTCAGGGGAAGCTTTGGAGCTGAGTCCCAAGCACAGATCTGCTTCTTGCAGCTTGGAGTTGAGTATTTTACTTCTCTGTAATGTCTGCCATTTAAGCCTTCCATCCCTCTCTGCCAAGAAACGCACAGAAGGTGTGAGAATGACAAGAAGAACGGTGAAAAATAGAACTCTACCACAGCACCAGAAGGTGAGCAGAGGAAGACAGGTAATAACAGAAAATCTTAGTACAATCCACTAGAAAAGTCAATTGCACAAGACATAAATCTATAGGAGACCAGGCTTTGCTACGACTGCTTGTGAAGGAGCAAAAACTCATGCCTTCGTGCAAGTCTTATGAGTTCCAGCAGTGATTAAAAATGCTCTTGGTATTTTCCTTGCAAGAAATTCAGCTGCTGGAAGCAGGCAGACAGCACAAGGCACCAGCCATCCCAAGTCTAACATGGAGGGGCAACTGCCCAGTCCTAATTCATAAATGAAAGATGGCAACGGGAAGAAAAGCAGAGTCAACAGAAAATACTTCAATTGGAATTTAAAATGCCTTAATAGTGTAAGATGTCCCCGGGCTCACCGGTTGTAAGAGAACTGCTTTAGTTGCAGGTTTGTTTGTGTGAGAACAGTTGTTAGGCTGAACTGCTCTACAGACTTGACTTGTTAAAATTCTAAAACAAAATCCTTGTCTATAAGCTGTGTCCTACTGACCGTTCCCAGCCTAGTTCACTCAGTTTCTGATTATTCAAACCCAAAGGGAAGTTGCCCTTTTGTTTTTGAGCTTGCTGTTTATGGTTATTATCCATTCATGCTTTGATTGTATAGCTACACAAACAGGAAGTGGTTACATGGCTCAAAGGTTTGCTGAAGCGTCACAAAACCCCGTTCACGGCTACTGACTGGGAGCAATCAGAAGCATTATTTGATGACTTTTTGATAAAAAGCTGCATGAAATGCACAGGGCTGCTCAGCCATCTGAAAACTAACATACTTTTGCCCTTAGCGATGTTCTCTGCAGAGAAGTTAACATCTGAATGGAAACGTTTTCGCTTCCTCCACTGGAAGCGGGACTGCATGGGCAAGGTCATTGCTCGAGTATTCCTCTCCCTACATGATCCTGCTGGCCTGGTGAGCACTTTGGTGTCTTTTTAAGCACTGCGCTTGCTGGTACTCCTTGAGTTCTTCACACAACATCGCTGTCTTGGCATGCTTGGTAAGCCTGACACTTGACGTACTTTCTCGCTGCTATAAATAAAGTCTGCTTGATTGTTCAAGCCTTTATTTTGCAGAGACATACTGTGATTTAAAGTGTTCTCCTCCCCAGCTTAAGAAGGAATTACCGTGCATCACTCTCATGCCGCTAAACACCCTAAAGGGACGCTTAACGTGACACCCTAGCGCTATTGCAGCAGGTACGAGGTGTTGCCAGCATCATTTTCAGTGTCATTTCACACGCCGCTGGAAGGCCTATGCTGCAGGGCCCTGCCTGTCTCAGGGGCCCCTC